CGAGGTTATCTGTAGGCGTGTTTACATTTTCTGGCGTGGTATCAGACCTGTTGACGCTGCCTCTGATGCACGCTGAGCGTGAGTGAAATGATGCTCACTGCGAGGCTGCACGCTGAGGCGTCCTGTTTCTATTTTAAAACCCAAATCAGCCCAAATAGGTCGCGATGACTCAGCAGCTGAGAATGAAGCATGCTGGGTTATTTTAGCAGGTCTCAGGCGTAGAACGTCGGTGCTGATGGAGAGCGTGAAAAGGTGGCTGTTTGGTGTTGGGGTTGAGACGGAGGTTGTGTGTGTGAGCTGTTGCTCCGCCTCCTCGTTCACGTCTAATCAAACCTCTGTCCCCCACATGCTGAGGAAATCACGCCCTCACTTTGCTCTTCCTGTTTCAGAAGCTGACGTGGAAGTCCAACGACGTCAGCAAGTGCACGGTCAGAGGGAAGAACAGCGTGAGTTCACCTCCACCTCTGCTTCTGCAGCTCCGTCAGCTTTCCTCACAGTTCTAACTCTGCCTTTGTGTTCCAGGACGAGTGCTACAACTACGTGAAGGTGTTGGTGCCTCGAAACGACGAGACGCTGTTTGCCTGCGGGACCAACGCCTTCAACCCGACCTGCCGAAACTACAAGGTGAGCTTCAGGGCGCGCTCGTGGAGGGGGCTTTAAAGAACTCACAGCTGCGTTGTGTCTCCTTCTGCAGCTCAATATTAAATTCGATAGCTTTTACACTGCAGCGTGTCGCAGTTCCTCCAGCCCAGAGAGCGCGCTCTTAATTAGACTTTAATTTTATTAATTTTCTTTACGTATTTGGCTGCGTGTGGATTATGAGACAGTCGATCATTAAAGGCAAGCTCATTTTTCCCCTCTTCAGCTTTTTCTTGTGAGTGTTTGAGGGCTGAATTAAAGTCATCCCAATGAGACGTGTTCACCGGATCCTTTCACACAATACTGCACGGACATCAAACCCACTTTACATGGACAGCCCACTTTGACCTTCACTGGACCAGACCAGCCGTTTCTGTGTTTCCTACATGATGAAGAAACTCTGCAGTGAAGAAATAAACGTTCTGCTCGCTCGGTGGCCAGACTGTCCTGTAAATTTCAAACAGAAAGTTGTTGTTTGTCCCCCGCTGTTGATCCACTTTAAAAAAAC